ACAATTAATAACAAGGTATTGTATACTTGAAAGTTGCTAAGAGAATAGGTTTGAAGGGTCCTCACCACAAAAAACTAAGTATGTGAGAGAATACATATGTTAAATGGCTTGACTTAGCCATTCCACAATGTATGCCTATGTCAAAAACTTCATGTTGTACACCATAAATATACACCATCCCCCTTGGTACTGTCGTTGTGATAGTGAGTGACTTTAATTTTTACTTGTCAATTAAAGTAAATACATTAATTAAAAAAAAACAACAAAAAACAAGTACTGGTCAGGACGTGGAGAAACTGGAATTCCTATGCATTGCTGGTAATGATGTGAAGTGATGAAGCCTCTGTGCAAACAGTGCGACAGTTCCTCCAAAGGTTGAACATAAGGCCGGGCGCAGTTGCTCTCGCCTGTAATCCCAGCACTTTGGAAGGCCAAGGCAGGCGGATCACCTGAGGTCAGGAGTTCGAGACCAGCCTGGCCAACATTTGGTAAAACCCTGTCTCTACTACAAACAAAAATTAGCTGGGTGTAGTGGTGCACGCCTGTAATCCCAGCTACTCGGGAGGCTGAGGGAGGAGAACCGCTTGAACTCAGGAGGCAAAGGTTGCAGTGAGCTGAAATCATGCCGCTGCACTCCAGCCTGGGCGACGGAGTGAGACTCTGTCTCTCAAAAAAAAAAAAAAAAAAAAAAAGTAAAAAGGTTGAACATAGAGTTACCATATGATCCAGCAATTCCACTTGTGGGTACCCACAAGAACCAAAGTAAAGACTCCAGGCCGGGAGTGGTGGCTCACGCCTGTAATCCCAGCATTTTGGGAGGCCAAGGTGGGTGGATCACAAGGTGAGGAGATCGAGACCACCATCCTGGCTAACACGGGGAAACTTCGTCTCTACTAAAAATACAAAAACAAAATTAGTCAGGTGTGGTGGCGGGTGCCTGTAGTCCCAGCTACTGGGAAGGCTGAGGCAGGAGAATGGTGTGAACCTGGGAGGCGGAGCTTGCAGTGAACCGAGATCACGCCACTGCACTCCAGCCTGGGTGAAAGAGTGAGACTCCATCTCAAACAACAACAACAACAACAACAACAACAACAATAAACAAAGACTCCAACAGATACTTGCATACCCATGTTCATAACAGCATTATTTACAATAGTCCAAAGGTGGAGATAACCCAAGTGTCCATCAATGGATGAATGGATAAACAAAATGTGGTCTATCCATGCAGTGGAATACAACTCAGCCCTGAAAAGGAATGATGTTCTGATACAGGCTACAACATAGATGGATCTTGAGGACAATAAGTTGAGTGAAATAAGACAGGAACAAAAGGACAAATACTGTATGATCCCACTTATATGAGATACCTAGCGCAGTCAAATTCATAGAGGAAAAAAGTAGAATGGTGGTCACCAGGGATGGGCAGGGCAAATGGGGAGTTGGCACTGAATGGGTACAGAGTTTCTGTGTGGGAACATGAGAAGGTTCTGGAGATGGATGGTGGTGATGGTTGCACAATATTGTGAATGCACCTAATACTGCTGAATTGAATTGTACATTTAAAAATGGTTAAAATGATAAATTGTAAGTTATATATTAATGTTCAAGGTTGTCCAAGCAAGAAAAACAACAACAACAACAAAAACCACCCATATGTGCTCATGCATCTCTGGCACAGATGCAGTTCCTAGGTTCAGCTCTCTCCTCAGGTGGCCATGGCATTCTCTCTTCAATGACAACATTCTGTTTCCACCAACTCTGCTTCTGAACCGAATCTGACACAGCTGTCACTGGCCTACTCCCTGGAATTACCACAGGATCTGAATTAGCCTCTGGCAGGCCCTCTGAGGAATCTTGCATCCATGCTTCCATTACAGTCAGCACAGCAATATGGTGACCTATCCCGTTTTTTTTGTTTTTTTTGTTTTTTTTTTTTTTTTTGAGATGGGGTCTTGCTCTGTTGCCCAGGCTGAAGTGCAGTGGCACAATCTTGGCTCACTTCAACCTCCACCTCCTGGGTTTAAGTGATTCTTCTGCCTCAGCCTCCTGAGTAGCTGGGATTATAGGTACGCGCCACCACACCTGGCTAATTTTTGTATTTTTTAGTAGAGATGGGGTTTCACCATGTTGTCTAGGCTAGTCTCGAATTTCTGACCTCAGGTGATTCGCCTGCCTCGACCTTCCAAAGTGCTGGGATTACAGGCGTGAGCCACCGTGTCTGGGCTGCCTATCCCTTTGATTGAATACCACCTGAGTAACTGATACGGTTTGGATCGTGTCCCTGCCCAAATCTTAAGTCGAATTGTAATCCCCAGTGTTGAAGGTAGGGCGTGGTGGGAAGTGATTGGACACGGGGGTGGTTCCTCATGAAGGGTTTAAAACCATCCCCCTTGGTACTGTTGTCGTAATAGTGAGTGAGTTCTCAAGAGATCTGGTTGTTTAAAAGTGTGTAGCACTTTGGGAGGCCGAGGCGGGCGGATCACGAGGACAGGAGATCAAGACCATCCTGGCTAACATGGTGAAACCCCGTCTCTACCAAAAATACAAAAAATTGGCCGGGCGTGGTGGCAGGTGCCTGTAGGCCCAGCTACTGGGGAGGCTGAGGCAGGAGAATGGCATGAACCCGGGAGGCGGAGGTTGCAGTGAGCTGAGATCGCGCCACTGCACTCCAGCCTGGGCGACAGAGCGAGACTCCGTCTCAGAAAAGAAAAAGAAAGAAAGAAAGAAAAAAAAGTGTGTAGCGCCCCCCCGCTTCTCTCTCTTTCTCCTGCTATGTAAGATGTGCCTGCTCACCCTTCACCTTCTGCCATGATTGTAAGTTTCCTGAGGCCTCCCCGCCCTCCGCCCCAAGAAGCCAAGCAGATGCCGGCATCGTGCCTGCTGGACCACCTGTGGAACCACGGGCCAGTCACACTTCTTCATAAATCCCCCAGTCTCAGGTATGTCTTCACGGCAATGTGAGAATGAACTCATACAGTAGTAACTCATTTGTCTTTAACTTTCCTCCGTCTTTCAGTGACAGCGTGTGTGCCTAAGTGACTCTTGAAGAAGCGTTCATTCGTGAGGACACCCGGTCCCCGCAGGGGCTCCTGGGGTGGTGTTTGTGGCAGGTGAAGATGCTATTGCAGAATTTATCTTCCTTGCCGGAAGAGAACGCCCGGGCAAAACAGAATTGCCTTATAGCCCAAACTGGGACCCACGGTCTTTTCAGGCCTCTGGCCGTGGGGCTTGACAGTTGGATTCTAACTTCTCTCTCCCTAGTGCCTCCCACGTTTACTCTCCATGTTCTGTTGCTTTTCTTGGTGTGTTTGCCTCCCTGATCCCATCTTTGCTGTCTGCTCCACACTGTACCCGATTTCTGCCCCTCCTTGCCTCTCCTGATTACTCAGAGCTTCAACTACCTCCTCGCCTCTGACAACTCCGTCTATTGCTGACAGGTTGGTGCACCTCAAACACCTGTCACCTCATGGCTCCGGCTTCTGCACCTGTGTGCATGGCACCCTCCTCCCATAGCTCTCTTCCCAGCACAACCTGCAGCTCTTCCAGCTGCCCAGCTGCTCCACACGAACCGTGATTAGCTCACACTGGCCTTTCCTCCTCCACTATCAGCTCAGAGCCAGCCACAGCTCACAACTCCGAGAAGTCTTCCCTGATCCACACGGAGGAGACTGTCGCCTTCACATGTCTCTCCCAGGACCCTGCAAGTATAGATTAGGTGCCCAGCAACGGCTTTCACCACAGTCCTCATCCTTTTCCTGTCTGCACTGCTGGAGCACGGGATGCCTGCAACATTCATTTGAAACCTCTTTCTACACTATTGGGACCCGCTCTGTCTTAGAATTGTTTCTGGGTGCTAACCTTGCTCCCTCCTCTAGCCTGGAGACCAAGGACTGACATCTAATTTGCAGTTGGTATCGGTATGTATGAGATGTAGATGCTCTAGTAACATGGGTCCAGTGATACCGACTTACATCACGCTGGATTCCTTCCTTGCTTCATATACCCTCATGTCACTTTCTGTGCATATTTTCTGCCTCCTTAGAGAGGTTGTACCCCCAGAGCTCCAGGGGAAAAAATAACTGTCCACACAGAGGCTCGTGTGTCTGTGGCCTTGGGGAACACAAATCAGGGGTCTCAGTTGGGCATCTGGGATTCAAAAAACACAGAATCCATGGCAACGGGCGACTCCTGAGGGCGGGGTCAGGGAGGCTGGGCCGATAGAAGGCTTCAGGAGTCGCCCATTGCCATGAATTCTGTGTTTTTTGAATCCCAGATGCCCAAGTGAGACCCCTGATTTGTGTTCCCCAAGACCACAGACACAGGGAGCCTCCTGGCATCAGGCTCCTGACACCAGAGTTGGGGTTCCTTTCAACTCTATTACAGTGAATGAGCGCCATGCTCACGCACTCATTCAGAGCCACATGCTTTGCCTGGCCTCCTGCTCACCTCTGAGTGGCATCTGGAGAAGACGTGGCCTCATCTTGCTTCAATCCTCCGAGCGTGAAGAGACCTGCACTCATCAGTGAAATGAATACAACGGGAGGTGTCTGGAGCCTTTCTTCACTTTCCCCAAAGGAATATTTGACAAACCCAGGCAAGGTTCAGAGCTCCACCCTCAACAATAATCCTGTCAAAATATCCGATGTTGTTGAACCTCAGAGGCACTGTATCACAGCAGAAAAGCGATTGATCTCATGGCTAAACTCTCTTTCTTGCTTATTGGCACGACAACAGAGCTAAATAGAGCCGAGATGAATTATGAGTCTATTTTTGGTGACTCCTTGTGGAATTCATGCACACTGTGTGTTTTGCATCCTTTGAATCCTTGGGCACACTTAGAACTCTGAAGCAAACACTCATTTGTAAATGTTACAGCTGCCAAGGTTGGCTGGATGCTGTGCTGGGTGACGTGTTAACTCTCACAGGGCTGCTCTGGAAGCAGGAAGAATGTTTTGAGCTGAGCTTCGGGCGGAGGGTGGGGCTGACGCACGCATGCTTACCTTGACCCTGTCCATACAGGCTTCCATCTTTAGCTGTTCCACAGCTTTCCTGGCTTGGGAGATGCTAGTGGTGCTGTTATTAGACATGCCCTCTTTTATTCTACTGCCCCTAGAAGTAACCAAATAGAAGGGTTAGAAGAGCTGCTTTTCCAAGGGTAGGGGACCCACCTCCCACCACCTACAGCTTCTCTGTCCAAGCCGGGGGGCATCTGGGAGCACGGGCAGCATTCGGTAGAAAACCCTCCTGGGACAAGAGAAAGGAATGCCTCATTCGAGTAAGAGGAGCAAGACATGATGCTTTTGTTTGGAAAAACTTTCTCAGTCCCGGGGAGAGTAAGAACAGAAGGTTCCAGAACAACTTCTCTATCAGCCCCACCGCTGCCACCACCATCACCCCCATGACCATAAGTAATGCTTGACATTTGTGTAGTGCTTTGTGAATCATCAATCACTTTCACACACATTTGGTCATTCATTCCTCTAGCGGCCCATAGAGTTGGTAGGACGATATTAATTTCTGTTTTGCAAAGGAACAAAGTGCAAAAATCAGAGAAATTAAACCAATAGCCAAAGGTCCTACAGCCAACATTTGTGGATCCAGAACCCGGACTTAAAGCTTCGAAGCCTAGCTGAGTGTCTCAAATGGCCTCTTCTAACAATCTATGACTCAAAACACACATTTCTAATGAATAAAATTGCTTTATTAATTTTAATTTGTTGTCCTTCCAAAAAGTTTATAGACTTTGTGTTGGGAGTTTGTTTGCAACAATAAACACACACACACACGCACACACACACACACACACACACTCTCTCTCTCTCTCTCTCTGTCACCCCTATCCCAAGCATGTATTTGTTTTCTAGAGGGAGGCGGAAGAAATTCTCCCTAACCCAACACACATGGATGCCCGTGACTAAGACCACCGTAGTGCTACCTGTTTCACAGAAAGCATGTGCTACACACATCACAGTTGCCCCGTCTAATAAGAATCTGCTTCAAAGGAAGCCTAACAACTAAAGCCTGAGAGCTGGGGGACAGGTCACTGTGAGCAGAAACACAAGTGACACTGGTTCCCAAAGGTACAGATGAGGTGGGAGGAGGCCCTGGCCATCATCTTTTGTTTCTGTTTATATTTTATTTCGGTTTTAGGTTTTTTTTCCCACCTCACAATTGTTGGACTTTATTGTATTAATTTACTTCAGTATGTAAACCATCAATCATACTTTCAAAGTTAAAATGATGCTAATTGATATTCTCACAGGCATCACTTTCACTGCCCATTCCAATCCTTTTCTCCCCTCCCACCTACCTCTTATGGGCAACCAATCATATTGGACTCCGGTCTATTCTTTCCTATGCTTCTTTTTTCCTTCCTTCCTTCCTTCCTTCCTTCCTTCCTTCCTTCCTTCCTTCCTTCCTTTCCTCCCTCCCTCCCTCCCTCCCTCCCTCCCTCCCTCCTTCCCTCCTTCCTTCCTCCCTCCCTCCCTCCCTCCCTCCTTCCTTCCTTCCTTCCTTCCTTCATTCCCTCCCTCCCTCCCTCCCTCTCTCCCTCCCTTCCTCCCTCCCTCCCTCCCTCCCTCCTTCCCTCCCTCCCTTCTTCCCTCCCTCCCTTCCTTCCTCCCCATCACATTGGTCTACTTTCCTATGCTTCTTTTTTCTTTTTTCTTCTTCCTTCCCTCCCTCCCTCCCTCTCCGTCTCTCTTTCTTCTCTCTCTCTCTCTTTCTTTCTGTCTTTCTCTCTCTCTCTTTCTTTCTGTCTTTCTCTCTCTCTCTTTCTTTCTTTCTTTTTTTCTTTTTTTCTTTCTTTCTTTCTGTTGGGGTCTCACTCTGTCACCCAAGCTGTAATGCAGTGGCGCAATCACAGCTCACTGCAGCCTCAAACTCCTGGGCTCGAGTGATCCTCCTGCCTCAGCCTCCTGAGTAGCTGAGACTACAGGTGTGTGCCGCCATGCCTGGCTAATTAAAAACAATTTTTTTTTTTTTTGTAGACTGGGCCTCACTATGTTTCCCAGGCTGGTCCTGTGTTTATTTTCATAGAAAGTAAGCAGTTACATGTGTATTTTATTCTTTCTCCTTTCTTACACAAAAAGATAATGTGTGTGTGTGCTTTTAAACTTTGTTTTTATATTTAACAATACATTTTAGAAAGCACCACATATTAGTTCATTGATATGCAAAAAAGATCTTTCTTATAACTACATAGTACTCATTCTTTCTTATAACTACATAGTACAGTACAGTACTCCATCGTGTGGATATACTGTATATTTTTCAATCCATATATTTATGGGCATTTACATATTCTCATATTGTTGTGGGTGTGTCTTCAAGGTACATTTCTGGAATTACTGGGTCAAAGGTAAATGCATATTTACTTTTGTGATATATTGCCAAATTCTTTTTTTTTTTTTTGAAACAGAGTCTCGCTCTGTCACCCAGGCTGGAGTGCACTGGCCCAGTCTCGGGGAGGGCTCTGCACTGTGTGTGAGGGAGTGTGTTGGTGAGTAGGAGGGTGTGAGTGTGGGGTGGGGGTGAGTGTGTGTGAGAGTGTGTGGGGTGTGAGTGTGGGACAGAAAGTATGTGTGAGGGTGTGGGTGAGTGTGGGTAAGTGTGACTGTGTGAGGGTGTGGGGTGGGGTGCGTGTGATGACAGAGTGTGTGTTAGCGCGTGTGAGGGTGTGAGTTGGGGTGAGTGTGTGTGTGAGGGTGAGGGGTGGGGGTGTGTGTGTGTGAGACAGTGTGTGTGTGAGCATGTATGAGGGAGAGAGGGGGGGGTGAGTGTGTGTGTGAGGGTGGGTGAGCGTGAGGGTATAGGGTGGGGGTGAGTGTGAGTCTGTGTGAGAAAGTGTGTGGGTGAGGGGGTGGGGGTGTGTGAATGTGAGGGGTATGTGTGTGGGTGTCAGGGTGTGGGGTGGGGGTGTGAGTGTGGGAGGGTGTGGGGTGGGGTGAGCGTGAGCGTAGGACGGTGTGGGGTGGGGGTGAGCGTGAGTGTGGGAAGGCATGGGGTCGGGTGTGTGAATGTGGGGTGGGTGTGTGTGAGTGTGCATGTATGTGTGAGAGTGTGGGTGTGTGTGGGTGTGTGTCAGGGTGTGGGGTGGGGTGAGCATGAGTGTGGGAGGGTGTGGGATGGAGCGAGCATGAGTGTGGGAGGGTGTGGGGTGGGGGTGAGCGTGAGTGTGGGAGGGTGTGGGGTGTGGGTGAGCGTGTGTGGGAGGCTGTGGGGTGGGGGTGAGCATGAGTGTGGGAGGGTGTGGGGTGGGGGTGAGAGTGTGGGAGGGGTGGGGTGGGGGTGAGCGTGCATGTGGGAGGGTGTGGGGTGGGGGTGAGCGTGAGTGTGAGAGGGTGTGGGGTGGTGGTGAAAGTGTGAGAGGGTGTGGGGTGGGGGTGAGAGTGTGAGAGGGTGTGGGTGGGGGTGAGAGTGTGGGAGGTGGGGGTGGGGGTGAGTGTGTGGGGAGGGGTGTGTGGGGGGTGTGGTGTGGAGGAGTGTGGGAGGGTGGTGGGGTAGGGGTGAGGTGAGTGTGGGAGGGTGTGGGGTGGGGTGAGCGTGAGTGTGGGAGGGTGTGGGGTGGGGGTGAGCGTGAGTGTGGGAGGTGTGGGGTGAGGTGACGTGTGGGAGGGTGGGGGGGGGTGAGCGTGGTGTGGAGGGTGTGGGGTGGGGGTGAGCGTGAGTGTGGGGGGTGTGGGGTAGGGTGAGGTGTGGGAGGGTGTGGGGTGGGGTGAGCGTGAGTGTGGGAGGGTGTAGGGTGGGGTGAGCGTGGTGGAGAGGGTGTGGGGTGGGGGTGAGAGTGTGAGAGGGTGTGGGGTGGGGGTGAGTGTGTGGGAGGGTGTGGGGTGGGGGTGAGTGTGGGAGGGTGTGGGGTGGTGTGAGAGTGTGGGAGGGTGTGGGGTGGGGTGTGTGGGAGGGTGTGGGTGGGGGTGAGCGTGAGTGGGGGGGTGTGGGGTGGGGTGAGCGTGAGGTGAGAGGGTGGTGGGGTGAGGTGGTGTGGAGGTGTGGGGTGGGTGGGGTGGTGTGGAGGGTGTTGGGCGAGGTGTGAGGGTGGGGTGGTGAGCGTGAGTGAGGGAGGGTGTGGGGTGGGGGTGAGCGTGAGTGTGGGAGGGTGTAGGGTGGGGGTGAGCGTGAGTGTGAGAGGGTGTGGGGTGGGGTGAGCGTGAGTGTGGGAGGGTGTAGGGTGGGGGTGAGCGTGAGTGTGAGAGGGTGTGGGTGGGGTGAGCATGAGTGTGGGAGGTTGTAGGGTGGGGGTGTGAGTGTGGGAGGGTGTGAGGTAGGGGTGAGTGTGGGAGGGTGTGAGGTGGGTTGTGTGAATGTGTGCATTGGATGTGTGCTGTGAGTGTGGGTGTGTGGGTGTGTGTCAGGGTTTGTGGTGGGGGTGTGAGTGTGGGAGGGTGTGGGGTGGGTGTGACTGTGGGGTGTGTGTAAGAGTGGTGGGTGTCTGTGTGTGTGAGGGTGTGTGTCAGGGTTTGGGGTGGGGTGAGGGTGAGTATGGGAGAGTGTGGGGTGGCGGGGTGTGTGTGTGTGTGAGGGTTAGGGTGTGTGTGAATACAGGCATATCTGAGAGCATGTGGGATGAATGTGTGTGTGAGTGTATGGAGTGTGAGTGTGAGAGTGTGTGGGTGAGTGTGTGTGTGTGTCTGGAGTGTGTGTGGGTATAAGTGTGAATGTGTGAGTCCTTGAGGACGTGTGCGCGGGTGCACAGGTGGGGCATGTGGCAGGGAGGGTACAGCTAATGTTACCAGCGAAGCAGCAGAGCCGACCCTCAGCCCCGTCAGGCCACTGCAGCTGCCGTCGCCTCTCTCCCTCCCAGGCACTGTCAAGATGGCCCTGATCCCCCAGCCCTTCCTCATTCTTCCGCTGTTCAACAAGAAGGGCTCGTTTTCTACAGGCCCTACCCTCTCCGCCCAGGAGACTTCTGGCTGGAGGCTTCCTGTGGGAAGGTCCCGCCAGCGCGCTATGCTTTCCTTGTTGTGTCCAGGAGATGAAATAAGAGGGTGGGGGACCCTCTGGGGGTTCCATCCCTCCATGGCCTCCCTCTCAGGCCCTCCCTCTGAGGCCACCCTCCAACCCGTGTCTGCCACCCACAGCCCGGGCCCCTGGACCTGGCCCCCAGCGGG